TTTAACCCAAAAAAGTGGTTAATAATTCATTTGTTGAGTTCTTGCAATTTGATATTATAAACAAGATTTGGTTACTAACCTCATGCAATATTACTATAAATAAATTTCAGACAAGTGCTTTGGTGGATGAATTAAACCGAGTGAGTGCTGAGAACAAGAAGCTCTCGGAGATGCTAACTTTGATGTGTGACAATTACAACGTTTTGAGGAAGCAACTAATGGAATATGTTAACAAGAGCAACGTAACCGAGAGAGACCAAACAAGTCCTCCCAAGAAACGCAAATCTCCGGTGAGAGATGACGCATTTAGCTCGGCGGTTATCGGAGGCGTGTCGGAGAGTAGCTCAACCGATCAAGATGATCAGTATCTGTGTAAGAAGCAAAGAGAAGAGACTGTTGTGAAAGAGAAAGTCTCAAGGGTTTATTACAAGACCGAAGCTTCTGACACTACCCTTGTAAGTAGAAAACTATCAAAATTTGATAACTATTTATAGAAACTTTTAATATATATATGGTTTATTGATTTTTAGAAGTTATTTCTTAATTATAGGTTGTGAAAGATGGGTATCAATGGAGGAAATATGGACAAAAAGTGACTAGAGACAATCCATCTCCAAGAGCTTATTTCAAATGTGCTTGTGCTCCAAGCTGTTCTGTCAAAAAGAAGGTAATAATAATACGGATAAAACCCGATTTTTTGACTAAAATATGAGCTTGATTACATAAATTTGTTAGGGATATTCATCTGATTCTGATTCTTGTGTTGGTTTCTCTTTAGGTTCAAAGAAGTGTGGAGGATCAGTCTGTGTTGGTAGCGACTTATGAGGGTGAACATAACCATCCAATGCCTTCGCAGATCGATTCAAATGCGGGTTCAAACCGCTACATATCTGTTGGTGGTTCGGCTCCACCAGCTGCTGCAGCCAACAGAAGTAGTAATAGCTTCGCTGAGCCTGTGACTACTGTAGATCTTACCGAATCCAAGAAAGCGATGAGCCCAACATCGAGAATCGATTTTCCAGAAGTTCATAAACTTTTGGTTGAGCAAATGGCTTCTTCCTTGACTAAAGATCCTAAATTTACAGCAGCTTTAGCTGCAGCTGTTACAGGAAAATTGTATCAACAGAACCAAACCGAGAAATAGTTATAGTTTCAAATTCCGTAATTAGTATTTTTAGATTCAAATTTGGCATTCAAGGGAGAAAAAGAGTAGATTATAATCCATTGTTATACTGAAAATGTAACATGTATTCGTTTTCATACAATCTCCAATACATTCAGCTTAGAAACTTCCTCCTAATTTGACAACAAAAACAACATCTGTACATATGCAACAACACAACAAGAAACTAAGCAGCACAGTGTTAAACTATTCTCTCTTGGCAATTCTGGTTTTTCTTTAATTACCGGTCTCGTCCTTTGATAAGCAGTCTTGGTGTCTGAAGCAGCTAATTAGATGATCGTTTGTGAGACCAGCTGTTTGCATGAACGAGTATATAACCGTTGGACTGACACTACGAAAGCCTCGGCGAACAAGGTCTTTGCTTATCAATTCGGCTTTAGAAGTCTTAACCGGGACTTGGCGTGGGTACCGAAATTGGCTCTGAGTAGGCTTTTGGTTAACAAAGTTCCAAATGTACTTATCAAATGATCCAAATTCAACTATTATCTGCATTAGAGAAAACCAATAACAGGTTTTACAAAAAGGTGATTTTGTTAAGAAACACAAACTATGATCAGGTTTATAGATGTTAAGTTACCTGGCGCATTTGGTTTGCATTCTCGAGGATTGACCGTAGCTTTTGCTCTGATAGTAACGTGGTGGTAGCAATCTCAGGAGATGTTATCTTTTTGTTAGTTAGTTCAGATATTGCAATTGGATCAAAGTCCATGAAAACTTCCCTGTTTTAAGTTAACAAAGCAAAAAGCATTTCTAAGATTTGCGCTCATACGAAGATGTTACCATAAGACTTTTGGTTTTGGTTACCTGAATAATTGTCTTTTGGAAAGAATGTCTTTCCAAGATAGTTCCGCAAGAGCACCAGACAGGCTTAATAACTCAAAAAGTTTCCTGCAAAAAAAAAAAAAAAGCGTTTATAATCACATAGACCATCTCTCGGATCAACAAAAGTAATCGGTAAAAGAGAAATCATCACGTACTTGTCATCATGGACAGGAACTCCCCATTCTTCATCATGGAAAGCAATGTAACATTGATCTTTAACAAGAAACAAAGAAGACACAAACATCGCGTCAAGTCAAGTCATAGCAGAGGAAAAAGATTCAAGCCAAGATAAAAGTTAAGGCCTAAGCTCATCAACTTAGAGAAATGACAAAGAAACTGATCCTGTTTCTGTGGTTGTTGTTCAATAACCACACTCAAGATTTGAGCTCTACATAAAACTACTAACTTCGAAATTCAATACCAATAAAAGGGAATTACACAAATCTTGTAAACTACTCAAACCCAGAATCATTAAGAGGTCATCAACAATTCAACATACAGATTGAAGAGAATTGTTACCAGATTTGGGAGTGATCCAAGCGCATCTTTTCCGACCATCAGAGAAACAATCACCGGAACCACCAGCTTTCTCATCTCTCTCCTCCGTCAGATTTTTTCTCAGTGAAGAAGAAGAGGAAGAGAGTGACCCATTTCGCCGCAAAACTCTCTTCCCGCTCGAAGTAGACACCATACTCAACGGCGACGACTCGCACGAAGACGAAGCATCTGAAGAATACGAAGCAGTCATCGAGATTCCGTTTCGTCTCAGAATCGAAGGGCTTAGAGGCGAGCATTGCGGCGTTTTCTTCGCCGTAAAGTTGAGATTTTTAGTTTTATTATCCACTGGTTTCTTCACCGGCTTTGACACCGGTTTCTGCTGTAGCTTGTTACCGGCGGGACCAAGAACTGACCGGAATTCTCTGTCGGAATCAACAGACCGGATTCGCGGTGGAGCCGACATTGACCTAAAGTTTCGATTTTTTTTTCTTTCGAAAATGCTTAACAAAGACTGGATCACAACTAAATAAGTGTAATTTCCCAAACCCAAGTCCAAGAGATTACAGCAATTACGAAGAACCCTAGAAAAGAAAGACCTGCATTTTGATTAAATGAAAGTCTTCACCTAAAATTTTCCCAATTCTTCTAGAGAAATCAAGACAAAGACCCAAGTTGCTGCTGCTCAATGGGATCACGAGAATGAGTAAGGTTTACTTACATACATAAGAAAGTGTAAAGAGAGAAGAAACAAAAGCAAAATCTTTGGAATAGTAACGAGAAAATCCTTTTTTTTGACTTCGAAGAACCCAAAAACAAATAAAGGAGAGGACTTTTCCGATCGAGAACGAAAGGAATCGAATTGAAGGA